AGAATACCGGTCTTTGAAGGCCTAGCGGCAGCATTCATGGTGGTATTCGGAATCAGCATCGTCGACTACCTATAGTCCAGTCGGTTTCGTTGAAAAAGCGATTTATCAGTTGGGGATCATTCCTCGTAAGTTGTAAGTGGTAATAACGAACTTATCAATACAGTAGCTTTATATAAAAATCAATTTATGGAGTTCAGCTGCATGTTTCATTCCTAACTGTCTGCTTCCTTGAATGCACATTATTGTTGAGCAATGTGATGATCTTCATTTACTCAACAAAGTCATGAAATTTTTTCTTCATAAGTACATCCTTGTGCAAGTTAACCTCACATTAGTTTAAAGTTTTTTTCAGATGCGATCTTTAAGCGTACCGAACAATTTTATTGTGTGTTAATTAACGAAGTGATACTTTTATACAAACACGAAACAGATCCACAAGAATATAAAATATTGATGCTAAAAGGTAGACTGGAAAATGTTTTCACCCACACTCCCATCGCATCCTCTGCTTTTTATCACAGGTGCAAATGCAACACTCATTGATGATGCAAAACATGGACATGGATTTGAATTAACATTGCAGAATATGGACAAGCCGAAACAATATCATGTAATATCTACGGAGACAAAAATTAAGCTTTTTTATATAATACATTTCTGTGTTTTAGTTTTATACTGAAGGACCAGAAGAGGCCACACAATGGTGTCAACAAATAAATATTGCTTCTCGTGGAGTACTACCAAGTAAGCTAAAAGAGTATCGCTGCACATTCGAATCTCTTATTAATATTTATATACATTTTTAGCAGATCATTGATCATATACAACGTGATGTAAGAATATATACATCCTAAGCTATGGTCGAAAAAAGACACATATAGAATTTTTATTGCTATCTCGCTTGTTATGCTGCAGCTACATCTTTTCTAAACTCCAGTTTTGCTGCTAGATACTTTACAATCTAATACTACTATAAATCACAATTATGTCGATCATTCTATCACTTCAGATTCCGATTGGCGTCAAGATCGTTTGTATAAATGAAAAATATTAAAATTTTCAACATTTTTTGAATTTCCATGACTAAACAGTTTTTTTTGCTACACACGGTTCTTTTTTTTTCTGTTTCTTTTTTATTCTTTTTGTTATATATTAGAAATACTTTAGCGTAAATTTTTGTAATTTTTTGAAATTCATTCTTTTTAGATAACTGTTATTTATATACGCGCTTTTTTTTATCAACTTTATCAATAGGATTACTACTTATAGTACATTGCTGTTAAATTTTTTCTTTCTCAATGAACAGTATCAGTATGATATCATTGTTTAATTATACCTCTTATAATCTGATAGTTTGTTTATTTCTATTAAAAGAATGATTGTTTCAATGGATACAGAGTACACAGAGAGTCTGTAACGGTAAAATCATTCCATCAATTATGAACAAAGTGAGGATTGAGGGCAACTCATTGGCGAAGAACTTATTCACTGTCATAAGCTTCCATTCGACATACGACAATTATTCGCAGCATTTATGCTAAAATAAGGACACCCCTCAAAAAAAGCATTTTTCGACAAAAAAAATCGATTTGGATATTTATGCATAGTTGTATAGCCCAATATATCTGCTTTCGAATGCACTATGATTTATTGGTTTTACGATGGTTTTTCTGAGGCACCCAACATCAAAAAGTGATTGATTTTTTATGGTTTTCCGTGGGAATAACGCTTACATATGGGAAAAAGTACATCGCACATGTCTCTACATGTGCTCATTCGATTCGACATAGCCGATAACCTACGACGAACTGCTCTCAGACTTTTCTCTGTACCACTTTCCAAAAAAACCGCGATAATCAAAGGAGAAACTTGTTTTGCGTTTTTCTCGAAACTGGTTTTTTTGTTTTACCTGATTGTGTGTCAAAGATTTCTCCGCCATTTTAAATGTTAGAAAGCTCGGGAAGGTTTTAAAATGAAGGTAAATATCAGCGCTACAACCTAACAAAGCCGGAATTTTTGTTTTCAATTTATTTGTTTACAAAAAACTCGAGTTTTCTAAAAAATTAATCTAGGTTTTTCGAAAAAACTGTCTAAAAAAATTAATTGTTTTTTTCTCAAAAATCCGACTTTGTTAGATTGTAGGGGCAGGTCTTCTCTACATTTTGACACCATCCCGATGTCCGTATCATTAAAATTGAAAACAAAATCTTTGACACACGGACGCCTACTTTTTGACCCTTGATGTTACAATAACTCACAAAAAACTCAATATTATGAGCTTAAATTTTTACTGAGAACTATCAATGGTCAGATACATATTCAGTAAAAATTCCAGTAAGATTGAGTGTTCTGGGAAAAAAAAAATTTTAGAGGAGAGGGGGCCCTTAAGACTAAATATCGTCTTTTTCAGACCTTATACTCGCTCCATTCTGCAGACAAAATAAAACTCGAAACTCGCTCGAAAAACTTTTCTAATTTTTTTATCAATCAAACGTTCTTTACTATATATAAATTTTACAACTTAATTACAGATTATCGAATAAAATGTGAGATTTGAGAATCAGAATAAAATGCATTTATAAATGACATAAAAGTCAGAATACAAGGAAACAAGTCTATTTTGGTACAATGGAGAAAGAAATGGGCCCATATTTTTCTTGGAAGAAAAGAATATTTGGTTTTATTAATCACCTTGAGTCACACAACCGTTTATGGAAAAGACAGAACATACATATTCATAAAGAAAAATTAAAATTTTCCTATAATGTTTATTTATACCAGATATGTTTGCAGATGTCAGTTTTAACGCTGATTACCAGTCAATGTTTACTTCGATGTTTAGCTATTGAAAAGAGGACAAAACTGTGAAATACTGTGTTTATATTCATTTAAAAATATAGTACAGAAAACTCTTTTTTGAATAACATTTAAGAGAGGATACGGTAACACGACAGTTGCTCCCCGGACAGTTGCTTCCCTGACAGTGGCTCCCGCGACACTTGCTCCCGAACGACTCTTGCTCGCCAAAGACACTTGCTCCCCTGACAATTGCTCTCTTGCGACAGTTGCTTCCGCGACATTTGCTCCCCAACAATACCTGCTCCCATTGAAGAGTCCGAAATGATTTTTAAAAAGTTAATAGTTAATGGGGGCATCAACCCCCACCTGTTTTTTTCCATCAGTTTGTGGAGGACACCTCGAAGTATATGTCCCAACAAAGCTTTCGGTTCCCGAATTTATAGTTTTTGATAAAAAAATTTTAAGATTTTTTCGGATTTTTTGCCTTATTTTTAAAATTTCAATAAAAAGTTCATTTTTAGATATGAAAAGTTGATTCTAGCGTAGTTCGACAGAGAACATTAACTTGTATAGGGGGAAATATTTTTCATTGTTCCCGAATGAAGTTCGACGCAGAAATTTTGTTTTTTGGTTTTTATAATGAAAAATACGAAATTTTAAAAGTTTAAAAACCGTACAATTTAATTTAAAAACCAAAAAAAGACAATTTCAAAGTAGGCTAAATTAAGGTTAATTAGTACTAATTAGTCAATAACAGGAAGGAAAGAACAAAAATTTTTTGCATATTTTCTGGTAGAAAAGTCGTAATATGCGTTTGTGTGTTATTTATGAAATTGCTGATTGACGTTACTTCTGCATTCTATATGGCTACTTCCTAAATGCGGCCGAAATTTAAGCCAATTAGTATAAAAGTGGACGCAATTTGGAACGAGTAAATTTCTATGATTCTGCGTTTCCAAATTGCGGCCACTTTTTAATTAGTGAGTAATCAACAATCGTAATTTAAATATAGATATATAAATTAGTCACTTTTTAGAAAAAATAGAAGTAGAAACATATATAAGAATTGATGACTATATATTTATGTATTATATACAAAACAGCTATATCAACGAAGAATTTAATCTTCGTCACTATTATCTCCGGCGTCGTTTATAACATCTATATACCGATGAGAAAGAGCTCTTAAAACTTTTTGATAACGATCATGTTTATGATTTGTGGCAATGGATTTTGTAATTGCATCATTTTTCAAAGTAATAGTACGATAACAGGATTTGAAAGTACAGACGTATAGTGACGAATCGTTCTGATTTACACGTTTTAAGTGATATAAGTAATTATTATACAAAATTGCTGTTTCACCTCTTTGAGTTTTTGACCAAGTAAAGTTTGTATCCATTGTTTTAAATAAAGTGTGACCTAACTCTCCATGCTGCTATATTTATATTATCAATAAGACAGAACTCCTGATTCAATTTTGCAACGGCTAATCAGGCTATTAAACATTCTTTTGCGAGAAGTAATCATTAGGATATGTTTTACTGATTTTTAATCAAAACTAATCATTTTGTTCTGGGAGCTGCTTCTTATTCTGATGTTCGTATATAGTGATCAATTTTTCTTGTATATGTTTCTACTTCTATTTTTTCTAAAAACCGACTAATTTATATATCTATATTTTAAATTACGATTGTTGATTACTCACTAATTAAAAAGTGGCCGCAATTTGGAAACGCAGAATCATAGAAATGTACTCGTTCCAAATTGCGTCCACTTTTATACTAATTGGCTTAAATTTCGGCCGCATTTAGGAAGCTACGTTCTATATACTTATATGTTGTTTTTCTAATTAATAAGATGTCTATTATTCTATTGTTGATGTCTAAATCTAAATTAAATATATTTATGTTCTTTTTGTAATTAATAAGAGTTCTAACTAGTGTCGTTGAGGAGCAAATGTCGCGGAAGCAACGATCAGGGAAGCAACTGTCGCAAGGGAGCAATTGTCAGGGGAGCAAGTGTCTTTGGGGAGCAAGTGTCGCGGGAGCCACTGTCAGGGAAGCAATTGCCAGGGGAGCAACTGTCGTGGATTCAGAGGATCCACATACATGGTAGTTTTCGCCATTCGATAGATAAAACCGAGGCTCATGGTTCTATACAATTTTTTTTTTAAATTCACAACAAAGGCTGGTTTTTCTAATTGATTTTTGGAAGCCCAGATTTGTACTTCGAAAGTTGCTGTAAAAATATTTGTTTTCCATCATGAACAAATATTTCAAATGTGTCCTCTTTAACAAGAAAATGAAGCGAACCTCTGCATTTTTTGTGGATTTAGCTTAGCAGTGGCCTTCCTGAGAGCCTCCAGATGCATATTTCATTAGCTATGGTAATCTTGAAATGAAAACATAAGGTATCGACCATTCTGAGTCTCGTGGTAGTATTCGTTCTCAGAAAAAAGTTCAATATTCCCATGAACACTTATGTAATGTGAAATAAACCCATTTTAGCCATTCTCACCAAAAAACTTCAGAACTCACTCAAAATCGATCGAAACTACTTTTACTATATTCTGTCGCTACTGCCAATAAACTTCGCGTAGACAGAAGAAGCTACTAAATACAGAAAAAGTCTATATAGAGTATTTCAATCGTTATTTCTAAAAAGAATCCGTATCATATACCAAAAAGCAAATATAGAAAATCGAGAAAAAGTTCGATTTTTAAAAGCCAAGTGGGGTATTTCGGCTTAAAAATACTATTTTTGTATTTTAAGCATCAAATCATGGTACTTTAAATAAAAGAAAATCATTCTACTGGTTTTCCGAGCAGAAAAAAAGCAGTTCGATACGTTTTTTTACCAAAAACTTTTGGAGTGTGCTCTGCGGTTAATCTGGATTGCTCGACATGAAGTGAGATGAATGTTCTGAGTCAATGTTAAAATTTTTAAACAATTTATTATTGTTTTATCAAACTTTCTACAACTATATTGAATTAAATTATTCTTCATTTGAAGAAAATAAATAATCTAGTATGAGGAAAAAGAAACAAATCATATATAAAAAAAAACAATAAAAACCTCATTTAATTTTGAAGAGTATTAACCATCGAAGATGTTGTTGTCGTTGTGGTTGTTGATACACGATTCGGTGATGATTTATTATTATCTATGCTTGAAGATGATTGATCATTAACTGGTATATTTCTTAATGACAAATCACCCCCACTTTTACTCGGAGTTAGACCATTCGCTATCCCTGAAGTATTATCAGTGATTATTGTTGCTGTTGGAGGAGGAGACGAAGATGTTGTTATATTTTCATATTTATTATTAGTTCCATAGGGCTTATTTAATGACCATTGTCCACGATAATATGAATTTGCTATCCCATTTCTATCCAAACTCGTTGATCGTTGTTCCCGCTGTTTTGCCAATCCATTTTGAATACTGCTGCTGCTTTGTTGTTGTTGTTGTTGTTGGTAATCATCTGTTATGTGATCAACAACCGTCTTCAATGTACCTTCCAGCAGATTTCGATAAGTGTTTATTTCTTTTTCTAAAGATGTTTGTTTTAATGAAACATCATCAAATTCTTGACCTATTCGATCTTGTTTTTGTCTCAATTCGTTCAGTTCATCATTTTGTCTACTATCCAAACGTTTTCGTTCATCTTGTATCATATCAATTGTTATTTGTACTTCACGTAGACGAATTTTTAATTCAAAATTTTTTTGTTTCATATTTGTAATATCTTGTCGAACACGTTGAATATCCCCACGTACTTTATCTTCATCTTGACGAACAAGTTCTTGTTCTCGTTCACTTTGAAATATTGAATGTATTTCTGGATATTGTTTTGATATATCGGTATACTGTAACAAAAATTGTTGGTGAAGATCCTGTCGTTGAAGGTCATTTTGTCGTTCATATTCCTGACGAATTTTTCGAATGGCATTCGATAATTCAGATTTAAAAAATTGTGCTCGGTCACTACCGCTATTGGAGAAGGTATTGGATGACGATGAATTTCCTAGTGTAGTTAATTTCAGATCATTTATTCGTTGCTGTTGATTGTCGTACAATAATTTCATATCAGTTTTGAGTTGTTGTTTTTGTTGATCACATTTTGTCTTTGTGATACTCTCATTCTGAATTTCATTTTTAGCTAAAAAGAAAAAAAAACGATTTTTCACAATTTATAACCACCGGTTGTTGTTTTTTTTTGTTGATAAAGGCTAAAGTAATAACAGTCTCAAGTAGCAAAATAATGGCATTGGTTTTAGTCTAAAGTATGAAGAATACTTTTTCCTTAAGTTATTATGACGTTTGTTTCGATAACTTTCACGTTAAGAACAAGATCTCATATGGTTTCAGAATTTAACAACACGAGCATACTTTTGTGAAAGCTTGAATTATGAAACTTTCAATGAATGTAGAGTTTCTGGTCAGTGTTTATCATTCATAGTGATCTCTTACTTTGTACATGCTCGCACATTGAAGCATGTTTAAACTTTTGAGAGAGATATGATGATAATTTTACCTTGTAACACTAGTCTTTGTATATGTTGTATTAATTGGGCCCATTTTGAATGTTCATCATCTTGATGATTCAAACGTCTTTTGTACATGTTCACATCACCTTCAGTTCCCGATAAATGTTTTTCAAGTTTTTCAATATCATATTTAGATGAACCTGTTTCTTTGAATACTTGTGATAATTTTTGTTTCAATTGTGGTATTGTCTGTTGAATATCTTTAGCAACATTCTGAACATTTTGTTTATCTGATGACATCTTTTCAATTACTTGTTTCAACTCTTTCAATTCAGTTTCAAACATTTGTTTAATTCGTTGACAAGTCGATTGTTGTTTCTCCGATAGTATTGATGATTCTAGATGAATTTTTTTATTTTGTGCTTCTAAATACCGTACTTTTTCAACATAATCAGCAAATTTATCATTCAATGTACCCAATTCAAATTTTTCTTTTTCACGTGTTTGATAGAGAAAATTAAATGATGGAGGCGTTGTTGGTGGTGGAGTTGAACGATAGAAATTAGTTTGAGTAGGAATAGTATATGATGACGTTGTTCCATAACCAGAACTAGAACGACTTGTACCATATGTATTATTTATAGAACTATTTGTATTAGTGTTAATCATCGACGATGATAAAAGTGATGGCATATTTGAATTCGAATATGATGTTTGTAATAATGGTGTGGAATTTAGAACAGACATGGAGTAGGGTGGTGGTAGTAAACCAAGAAAATTATTGCTCGCTGTTATACCTAAAATAAGCATCAATCAGAGATTGAAGAAAGTATTTCACTCTTTATAATGAAAATTCTACATCCTCATATGCTCAAAAACTATCGTTAGAACATTTTTAATTAAATACACGTGTAAGTTATTCATGTTATGTCCTACAGTGAGCCATTAAACTGAAATAATTCAATAACTTTTTCTTACTACCTAGTACAAATAAAGACCTAAAGTCCTTTATTTGTTTAACCAAGGTGTAAACTTAAATACGTACTTTTCCAATTATGAAAATGAACCAAGTGTTAGTACCTTGAACTGTACGAAAGAGAACAAGAACAATTCAATAAAAGACGAAGAAAAAAACTGAAACCCCATTTTTTTTCTAAAAAATTATTCTTTTCTTGAATAGTTTAAGTAGAAAACGGTGTTTAATACTAAAATAACAGCAAATGAAATAGTTGTCATTATAACAGACATATTTTCATGTACCGTTATCTTAGATAAAAAAATCTGTAATATTGAGAGTTTCGTTCTGATTATTTTTTAGGCTATATCTACTCCCATTACATTCTATTTGATATTTCTTATTCCTTATTTTCTCGACAAAATACTAATTAGATTTAAATAAAGTCCTTTCTATAGTCGTGTAAGAATTCAGACTCAAATCTTAGTTATTAATCTTTTCTATAATGAATAGTACTGTAGATGACACAAAGATGATTTATTTACTGTAATGCAATATACCTGTATTATATCGTTGAGAATGCATTCAAATCACTCTGCTTATTTAACAAAAAGATGATTTATATATAATGACAGTCGTCTGATTGAATCTCTTAGTCCCTATAGAAGATCCTATAGTCCTGTATCTTAGGGTACATACAGTCCGATAAATGACAGGAGACAGGCACGTATGTACCACGTGCCTTCTCAATTCTTTTTATGTTCTCAATGATAAACATTCTCTCGAATTGCGTTCTGCATACCTGGGTAAAACAAAATTGTATGTGGACCTCGAAGATTCAAGATAACGGAGTAAAAGAGTATTTTCTCCATTAATTATCTCAATTAATTTTGTCAAAAAAAACAGCTATTTTTTCTTTTAAAACTTTTTCCAATGTTCTTCGCAAGACTTATACTCCATCGATTTTGGTGTTTCGCCATGATCATACAAATCCATTAGAATTATAAAAAATTTCAAATTACCTGTTGTCGTATTGGTTGTCGTTGTACTAGTCTCATCGATAGTAATCGATGAATCTGTTTGAGTCGTCATTGCAGTATGTATGGCAAATACGTACGTAGATAAGTCAATTTATGGTAATTAGATTTTTTTTACATGTTGTTCTATCTATTATAGTAAAACGATAATTTAACCTTTTGTCTCATTATTTTGTTGCCACAGTGTTTCACACGGTTTTTTTTTCTTTTTTTCTTATCATTAAAATCTCATTTTTTTTTCTCTCGTTTTGTTCTTTCTTTTTTATTCTTTTTTTAACTCAACTTAAAAAATTATAATTATATTGAATATTATTTTCTTTTTCCACTATACAACGAACAATAATCCTAAAATATGTAAAAGTCTTTCCCATTCGTACCATAAGGTTATAAACTTATGTAATTCAAAAGGAAGATTATTAATCACAATAAGAATGTCTAACAAATGAAAAATCAGTATTGTACACAAAAATAGTGAGAGTATTATGAACAATAGAGATAGCGCTTTTTCTTTTTTTACGATAGATACCTTTCATAAAATCGCAAACCGTATATATTTATCTATCCACTTAAAAAAGTGAAGAAGTCTTTTTTTTCTATGTCGGTACATGTCCTTCAAGAATGAGAGATATGTGGTGTGATGAAACGACAAAACTTTAAAAAGACGTTTTGTGGACATTGTTTTTTTAAAAATAAATTTTGGTGTGAACAAAAGATAGAAAAAAAAACAAAAATGAACAAATTTCTTTTTTATTTTTCTCATACTATTTCTTACCACGTACACATTATTAATTTTTTAACTTCTCTTAATTAAATTACACTTATAAAAATATTATTATGCATAAGAAATCTTTTCCATCGTATACCATATAATTTTTTAATCTTCTTAATATTCTTCTAGATCTCGCTTGATACAATCGAATGATAAAAACTACTACTCATAAGTTTAAAGAAATGTGAAATAAACACCAAGTATGAAAAAAAAAATAAAGTTTTAGAGTGTATATATATATATATATTTTTTTTTTTCATGTACTACTTCATTCGTGAAAAAAACGTTCACTCTAGCCGATACGACAAACAAACACGTTTTACTTCATTTTATAATTTACTTTTTTCTTTCATTTTTATTTATTATATGCACTTGATATAAAGCGTACGCATATAACATACACATATGCATATAGCAAAAAATCATTTGTGATATTTTTGTTGAAAGATCTGGTATAAAAAAATTATAGTGAATATCATGAATACTTGAAAATAGGAACAGTAAAAAAAATAATAAAAAAAACTAAAAAAAAAAAAAAAAACTAAAAAAAAAGAGAGGGAAAAAAATACTTTGAATAAATCGAAAAAAACATATATATTTTGAGACTAATATACATGTTAACTCTATTCTTTATGTGTAAAGCCGTCTTTTGAGTGCATATAATTCAAATATAAAGGAGCTTCATGTTTTCTTTTCCACTTAGATTAAGTAGAAAAAAAAATCGACGATCCTTTAATTATAAAAAAAATATAATTTTAACAAAATCAACATTTTTATATACATAACGAGTTATTCAAACAACGAAAGTGGAAGCTATTAAAAAATTATGGTTCCTCTGTTAATCTATAAGAGTGAATAATCATTATCAGAATTGATGTAAAAACTTCACACTTTTTTTTACGTTATTTTCATTTTTAATTTCATATTTGATACTATTCTGCTATGAGACAACTACACCAAAATATCTATGAAAAAGATAAACTATAGCGAAATTTACCCTGAAATCCAATTGAAGGTATCATATTGTTCATTTTTAGACGTTTTTGATAAGAGCAAAATTTTTCATTGTAACGTATAAGCAAAAAGTCTGGTATATTTTAGGCTAAGGACAAAAAGAAAATCAACAGATTTTCTAATTGGTTGTGTTTTCGAACATTAAATCATTTTTTATACAAGAATACAGATGGTTGTTTTTTTTTAATTGAAACCTTATGGTGATGTAATCTTCTTTAATACTTATTTATATATGACACTTACTGATCTCTATTGTATACGAAGTTATGTGTCTATATTAATGATACTTGTAATATGTGTGTGTGTGTGTATGTTTGTACATATTCTCTCCCTCTCTGTTCATTCAGCGTGAAGGTTATATTAATATGCGGTTTTTTCCTTGATGTTACAGTACAGGATATACAAGATAAATATTTGTTAAAATGTGCCGCAAACAAATGTAATTAAGTATATCAAATATAGTTTGACAAAGAAATAAACTTCAAGTTATCGATATTTTATTCTTACACGATCTCGTTTAACTATACTCAGTCTTTCAATAGAGCACAAAAAGAAAAAAAAGATACATATTGTATATGAACAAAAACGAATTAAATTTCTTTTTCAAACTTACAAATTAAATCGAATATGCAAGAAATTCATCAATTTTGATTAAAATTGATGTAGTTACAGTCATGAATATTTTTTCAGAAAATAGTAAAATGGTTTCTTTTTTAAATGTATTCAATAAATTTATATATTGACTAATTTCTAGTTAAAGTGGGCCCCTACAGTGAGCGAAGCGTTTTTATTTTACATTTGATTTTAACGAAAATTTCAACAAACATATTTGATACTAAAATGATACTTGCAAAATAGTTTTCGCTTTTCTGTCAACAATTCTTTTCAAAATTCGAGAAAACAAAAGGCAAAATACGCCCTACAGACATTACAGAACGGAGGGGAGTCGATAAACGGCAAAATCGGCTCTCTCTCTCTCGCTAGATCAACTATACTTAGAGTATTTTCATTATTTCATCCCTTTTGATCACAAAAAAAACTCGATATCATTCGATAGAGAACTTCACAGGCTACAAAGTACCATATAGATTATTAAGAAGACAATGTAACTAAGTATTCGAACATCAAAAATACTCTGTAGTATTTCAGCAAATCGGTAGGTCAACAAGAAAAACCATGGCGTATGTAAAAATTTTCCAACAGGATTATATTGATTCTTTTTTGATGGACTGGTAGTCTGGGATCTTCTCTTCAAAACGGGAATCAAGCGAGACCTTGATTTTCCGCGGCTCCGGCGCTGTATCGGACACCCTACGAGTCCTAGAACTGACACCTGTTGACTATTGGCAGTCTTGAAAGCTGGTGGATTATAGGCAATCGATTATGCTGAGCCTGGTCGCAATATTTGTTTTTAGAAAAAGTTTTAAAAATCTAGCGAAAAGCGATTTTTACGAAAATCAGGGTTTTCAGATTGTTCTCATACAATGTTAAAAAAGTTCACGATTTACTCAAAAAACATCAGAACGAGTTCAAAACTTCAGAATTTAGAGTATCTAGACTATTCTATATCCCATTTATAGGAGATCTAGAAAGAGATTTCCCAAAAGCTTAAGACTTTCTAAAGGAGTGAGGATTAAGAATGGGTTCAAAACTTCAAGATATGGCTAATTTTGTCCGCTAAACGTGATCAGAAGATCGAAAAAATCGAAAAAGCATAGTTTTCCTAATGGATTCCTCACCAATGGATGAAATCCATTAACAAAACAATGCTTTTTCGATTTTTTTCGATCGACTGCCTATAATCCATCAGGTTCCAAGGCTGCCAATAGTCACCAGGTGCCAGTCCTGGGACTCGTAGAAAAGCCAATACAACGCTCGAACCGTGGAAAATGAAGGTCTCGCTTGATGAGGAGATCCCGGACTACAAGTCCATCAAGAAAAATCAATACAATTCTATTGGAAAATTTTGCCAAGGAGCATGAGAAAGCGTTTTTTTAGCTCTAGAAACGTATCAGTTTAATGCCCGATAAAAGCAATATGAAATCCCTAGGTAATAATTATTTGAGAAGAGGCCGACCTTTGACCTACTTTGGCCGACCTTGACCCCGCTTCTTTTTTTATTTAGAAATGGTATCACGATTTTGTAAAATTCTAAAGATCTTCTAGAAAAGTGTAAGCTTTTTAGGGCCGATTGGAAAATTCTCTTCACAAATTTTTATTATTGGGTCATTTCAGTACAAATACAGCACAAATGTTTAATAAATTCTAATTTTTTAATATACTTTTATTCGTACAAATATTACATTTAACAACTAAATGTTTCGACGTTTACCAATGTCTTCATCAGAGCATCTATATCAGAAGACACTTACTTTGCATTCTCAGAGCAGTCATATATACAAACTGGAATATGTTTTTGTCTCAACTAGTGGGGTTTTGATTGACATCACTGTGGAAGTTCCTCTACAGCAGTTCGAGTAAATATGAGTCCAAGCCCAGAAAGGAATCAGTCTATTCTCCAAAACAAGAAGGCTTTATATGCAGTCTACAACGATTTAGAGAAATCTTCCCATTTCTAAATCCATTCTGGTTTGGACCAACCTAAAAGACAAAGCTAAAGAGTTTAGAAATGGGGAGACTTGTCTGAGATCGTTTTAGGTTTTGTATCGTCCCTTCTTTTTTTGTGTGTAACTATTCTAAATTCCTCTGAAAGAGGACGAACAAGGAGTGAAAGTTTGTAAAGGGAGAAATTACTGGAAATTTGAAAATTTTATCCACCCTCTCTGTCTAACGCTTGCGGATATACGCGAATTCACGGACAATACTGAATATACATTGTATACGCGGGCTAGCTATCCGAAACATAGACTTCACTCAACCCTACTTTAGTCCATCACGTTTGAATGGAGGAGTTACACTTTAGACCCAAGGTGTGCACTGATAAACTTTTTACTAAGTAGTAACACAGTGCTAATAGTTCCATACAGTGAGTATGTTTTACTCCTTTCGAATTCTGCCTCATTTCTCATAGAAGAATCGTTTCTAGAAATCTTTTCTTCGTTCAACTCCCTTCTGCAGCATGACAACTCCTGATCAGTATTTTTTATTAATGATCATGGTCATGCATATCACCAATGATTCATTCTTATTCTATTTATAGCGACATCAGATACGTTCAATTTTGAAAACTAACAGTAATTCGTACGTTAAGCTTATTTACATAAACATTCAAGCATTATATATTTCATCATTAAACTTTTTAAATTCAATTTGATAGTATGATGAAACAGCGATCAGTTTAAGTCTAAAATCTTATATTTTATAGAAAATATTAATTTATTTCAGAATCATTCACCTGAGTTTCTGTTGTAAGTCACATGTCATATTCAAAAATCAAAACTTAACGCCCACATAAAAGAAATGTTTTTATATGAAGGTAAATAATGGAAGCAAAATATTAAATCAGTGATTTCTTTTCACATTGCTGTTTAGATCAGATGAATCCGTTCAAAATCATACAGCATTTCTATTTCTAACTTTTTGGTGAATGAAAATATTTTTTCAAGTAACTGTACAACTAAAAACTTAAATGATTCGTTCAATTTAAAATGGTATCTCTTTGTATGGAACATTTTTTGTCACCATATTCTACTCTGATTTGTCAAATATTGATTTTTTATTTTATTTTTTATTTTTGAAAAAATTTTTAACATCTTGAAAACTTGATATCTGAAAAAAATCAGTTTATAAGAATATACAGCTGAATGTATCAGATTTTGTATAAAAAAAAATATAAATCAACTTTTGTTTTCACATATTATAAGAACAAAAATCATCAGGTACATATGTAAAAAAAGAATATAATATTCTGCACTGTCAATATATTTATCATTTCATCAAAAATAAATTTGATGATTTTATTCTTCAAAGTCATACTCCTAAAATCTTGAAATAAAAGGTTTTCTTTTTCATGAATAATGATGTATGTATGGTTTCATATTGCTTATTAACTGTTCATACTTCCTCTAAATATTTCTTTAATAGATTTCATTGTTTTAAACAATGCTATCAACATCCACCTGGCTATAAGAAATATTTTTTTAGAGAAAAAACAAAAAAGAAAAAAAATAGGAAAAAGTCAGTGAACCTTATAAAAATAAATTAGTTATTTATGCATCTTCTACAATTATAGTTTTATTTTCCGAAGATACAAAAGTATGTGGGCAACGTCTATAATCAATAGATCAATGTGTCCTTGATTTTATTTTAAAATATGTGCATGTATGCAATTGGCAAACTACCTGACTTTCATTTATAATTGTTATTGTTGTTTTACCTCTAAGAGAAAAAATGACTGGAAGAATTTGTTATAATAAAAAAAAAAAAAAAAGTTTCAAAAATATGAAAAAATGAGAAGAGAAGAGGTAAAGAAAACGAAACCGAGAACAAGTTGAAAGAAAAAAAATATATACGTATATATAATGATAAATAGCATGCACATATTTATATTTACACTCTGTAAAGAAACATGAAAAAAAAGCAGAACGAAAACTCGTTTTTCTCTCTCAACTGATAACATATTAAAGTGTCTAGGTAGGAAAATGTGACTTTTACATTTCATCGTTATATTCTCTTTCCTTATCCTCTCGAGTTAAATTATATTAGGTGTAGATATTTCATATCTCTAATATACCCTTTAATATCACAATAATTGTGTCATATTAATACATGACGACGACATGTTTTCATTGCAACAAAAAACAAAGACAAGAAAAAAGAAATACAGGTATATTATGGGATTATTTATTGATTTTAATAAAAGCAGTAATAATAATAATAATAATAATAATAAATAATGGAAACTAAACGGTATTCTTTTACTTTTTTTCTTCTGTTTTTTTTTTTTTTTTTTTTTTTTTTCTTCTTCTTCTGTTCGTGTACAGAATATGAAAAATATATTTTTATTTTAAATTTCAACAACTGCAGAAGTCAAATATTCGCCTACACATATGTACTAAAATGATTACACAAACATTCATGATAAATCATAATCATTCAAGTCAAATAATAAATTCAGCGAGAGGGAAAAAAAAAATTCAACTCTTCATAGTTCACATACATACATATATTGATTAATATACACACTCTTCTCACTTATTTCTTCTGATTATTAGTTTTTTTTTTCTTAACAAAAAAAAAAAACACAAGAAAAAAAGAATAAGCGGAAAACGAGCAGATGTGGCGCTTTCCCATATTTTGGAAACGGAACAAGAGAAAAGTAACTGTCACATCAAATCATAATAATAGAAAACAGCAACAGCAGCAATCTGAGAATAATAATGATGATGATATTGAAATGATGTTTCTAAATATGAATAATCTCTCAATTTCAGCTGGTACTCATAAAACAACACCAACAAAAGCCTATACAATAATAGCAAGTAATGGAATAAATGGTTCTTATACTCAATACTCATCGTCTAGTTCAAATTCTACATTACATCCAACACAACATAATTTAAAATTAGAATATACTGCTTGTAGTACAACAAGTCATCCAAAATCAAAACCTGTAGAAATAAATATTATAACATCTTTTGATAATATTGATAAAATTGCACAAGAATCGATGAATATAATTCAACAAGAACAACGTAAACAAACACGTCATAGAAATCATAAACCATTAAACTTGGAAAGTGTTGTACAATATGATTTAACAAATTCTTCGTCTTGTTCCTTGCCAACGACACCGAATCAAAATACCATCAAACCAGAAAAGAAATTAATAGATCAAAAAAGTATATTTTATTCGTGTGATTGTATTTTAGACAACATCAATAGCAATGGGAATGATCGAATAGTGCATTCAGATGAATCAACATATCAAGAGATGGTAAATGGAAAAAAGTAAGCACATAAAACTGTACAATGACTCCAATGCATTTAACAGCATCTTTACAGTTGCACATTTTGAATTTTATTTTAGTCTTTGTGTAAATACCCTATAGAAGTCTAATACAGGGTGATCCAAAAAAAAACTTACCCCTGTGTATTTATTGACTTTCTTGTGTACAAATATAATTGAACTTTTTATCACTAGCTTATTCAAATAGAGCAAAGATTTCTGGGCAAAATGAGACGTCTCCGAGCTCTCTAAGAACTTTTTTCATGAAACAGCATTCAATTTACGGAAGGTCCCCAGAGCATATTTTTCTTGTTTGTCCATTAATTGTCCCGATTTTGGTGGTATGGGACCTTCCGTAAATTGAATGCTGTTTCATGAGAAAAGCTCTTCGAGAGCTCGGAGACGTCTCATTTCGTCCAGAAATCTTTGCTCTATTCGAATAAACTAATGGTAGAAAGTTCAATTATATTTGTACACAAGAAAGTCAATAAATACACAGGAGGTGAGTTTTTTTTGGATCATCCTCTATAAACATAATTATTCACTGATTTCATTGAGTTGAACATTTTAACACTTTTTGGCACAGTAGATCGATCAGTCATTAGGGTTTGGACTCAACTGAGATACAATCCATATTTTAATCAAGTATCTATCTCTCACCAATAATTCTGCGAAAATATTCGTTTTTTAACTGAGATACAACTTTAAAACGTGCAATTGTGCAAGAGTGCAATGTACTAAGGTCTATTATTCACTAGTGAATGAAATGGAATTAGGTATATGATGTATCTCTATTGACTATGAGAAATTATTCCCACATTACATGGTGAAATATTACCATGTATTAGGTTATTATCAGCTGAACTTTTACCTAAAAATCGAATTGCATCTGGAAAAGTGAAACTTAAAATTTATCATTTCCTGTTATATCATAAAATAAAAAAAGATTGTCCCATTGATGTTATTTTTAAAGGTAGAGGAATCACAATCGACAATACCATTTAAAGACGTTATTTTATCGTTTTTTAAAACAATTGAACTTGTTGCATAGAAGTGCGTACCATACTGATCATTCACAGATACCCTATTTAAAAATAATTAATTAAAACGGACAAGTATGACAAGTTGGTAAAAAGTACCTTAATATATCAAATTTCCCAAACATTTCTCACGTGGGTACTCCCATGCATGTCCTACTATGTTTTACACGATTAAAATCTGCCAAGCTCTCACTATGCTAGTTTTTTAATCTGTGTCGAGTTATGTAGGAATTTTTTTCGAAAAAATATTCAGCCCTTTTCTACGATAGTGGGCGGATGAGAAAGACACTTTTTATCGAAAAAAAGGGTTTTTGACTCGTTGGTAGTATTTTGTAAAAATTCCGGATATAAAAAACAATTTTTTTCTTACTTATGTCCGGTAATTTTACTTATCATATCGCTTTCAGATTAGAAGATCTTGTATTCTTTCACTTCTCAATTACTATATATTTTTTGCTTTTCTAGTACTGATACTTCTAAGTCATTATTGAACAAAAATCAACAAATAAATTCTGTTGTGGATAATAATCAAAGATCGTATACTTATTCAAAAGATCATACCACGTATGGCGTTGACTGGAGTTCTACTGCTCATCCGAACTCTCATTGTTGGCATCCATGTCCAAAAGATAATTCAAACGTTTATTTTTGTCAATATTCTGGTTGTGTTAATGAAACATTGTTAGCTAAGACAAATCGTAACACTACAGTGACTACTGACAATATTTTATTACAATGTGAATCGTGTTCATTTATCATTCATTCTCATCACTTATCATTTTCTTCTCCAATACGAATTCCATTGTGTCGTTTAACGTTTATCGATAATAAAACAGATGCGTCTCGTTTCGATAAACATTTCTGGAGAAATGTGAACGTCTTAACAAATCCATGTAATTTTTGTAAGAGAAAAGCAAATTCACTATTCACACGACCTCTGACAACTGCAATTGATTTAAGTGAATTAGAAAATTCGACAGTATCAGCGATCATTCCTACACCAACAACAACAAAATCTACTGTCTGTGGAATTCAATGTGTATGGTGTTCCAGGACTTATCACAAAAAATGCTTTGAAAAATTAGATGAATTATTAAAAACAGAATGTGATTATGGAACACTACGGTAAAGAAATACACACACACACACACAAATTAACCTCATTTGTTCAATTACTCTGCCCTCTTTTTGAGCATATCAATTTTCTTTTCTTTTAATTTATCTGTTTTTGTCTTTTATATAGAAATATCATTGTTCGTCCACAATGCATACGAAAATATCCCGATCGATTTAAAGCCGTTAATGATGATAAAACGTTAAATATGGATTCACCGTTACTTGTATTCATTAATAAACGTAGTGGTGGACAAATAGGAGAGAAAATATATAAAAAATTATTAAAAATTCTTAATCCAAGACAAATATTTTTATTAGATAATAATCAAACAATTTTAAATGCTTTAGAAATTTATTCTGAATTATCAAATACTCGAGTTTGTGTTTTTGGTGGGGATGGAAGTGTTGGATGGGTTTTAGCAAAATTAGCTGATTTTTATCATGGACTGAATAATCCGCCTGTGGCAATCGGTCCTCTTGGCACAGGAAATGATTTATCTCGCGTATTAGGTTGGGGCGATGTATATGACAGTAAACGTTTGTTACCGACATTACTACAAATTCCAAAATCACATCCAATTCCATTAGACCGTTGGCATGTCGTTGTTGAACCACTTTCACAAATATCATCATCATTACCAATTAGTACTACTAGCATCGATCATAAACATCGAAATAAAGTTGAATTACGTAATCATCAACAAGATTTTCTTCTCAATCATAATAATCCAAAATTCGTACGTGAAACAAATCGACCATCGTATTTAAACCATCGAACATTACCTAATTCATATTTTATTAATTATATGAGTTTCGGATTGGATGCAGCTATTGCACTTGAATTTCATGATAAACGAACTAGAGAACCGGAAAAATTTTCGAGTCCATTTAAAAATAAACTTATGTATTTAAATGAAAGTCGAAAATATATGGGAGATTTTACAAAATCAAATCGATGGAATCTAAGTGCATATCTCACACTCATATGTGATGATCGAAACTACACAGAGTCTATACGCAATTGTCATACACTCGTTGTACTAAACATTCCCGGCTATGCATCGGGTACAAATCCCTGGGGTAAATCATCTTCTAATTCTTCAAGTTCTCGAGATTTTGGTTCGTCAGATCACATCTCAACCACATCTGTCAGTTTACCATCAGCTGGAGAACCGTATGAATTAATAACAGTGAATAAGAACTCGACCGAATCACCCAACACTACAACAACACTATCTCCTCTAGTATCTAGTGATCAACATTTTGGTGATAAAATGCTTGAAGTCGTAGGTTTGTCTACAATGCATATGGGACTTATACATATGGGCTTTTCAGGTATTCGCATTGCACAATGTAGTCAAGTACGAATTGAAATCCAGAC